TAACGGCCGCAAAGGGGGCGCTCGCGAGCACCCTTTTGAACGCTAAAATGACGAATGGGACACCCTACGGTCTCGTGGACTAAACGGACACGTGCACGCGGCAGCCATTGTAAGTCCGCAAGACCGAAAGTGCACATGAAGTGTTCCATTTGGGACAGGGCCTATGAATGCGATCCATACATCATCCGCCATGTTGACGTTATCATGTGACTTAAGACGTTACAACCGCAACAACTTAAAAGATACGAGCGACAGGTTTAATACCTCTATCTGTAAATATTTTGATGTTGATGAAATTTCCTAATTTTGTGGTCTTGTTGGAGAAACAGCCTTTTTATTGTGATTGCAGTATAACCAATACATTTTGGGTTGATTTAAGTTTTTATATTCAGAGATATTTGCCCTTCTAATTTTGCCTTTTTTTCTGTTTATATTCTCATACAATGATGTATGCAAACCCATTGTATTTATGTTTTATATTATGATTGTTCGTTGTTAAAGATACAACCATTTTTCCCTGAGCTTGTAAGTAATTAAAAGTTCTGCAGTGATAATAATAAAAAGAAGATAAGAGAGGTGCACTAACTCCTCATAGCATCAGTAACTCCACAACCCTACCTAGTACAGTTTTCTACAGCGTTTGCAATGTCTGCACAAAGGAGACGTCGGGCAGCTGCTTGAAGCTCTCGCCTTTGGAGAAGACTGCTGATATTATACTCAAAAAAATGTAAGTATTACTACTTAAAAAATATTACCCCAAAATGCATTGCTAGCCCACCCCAACACTTACAATAATGATAAATGCTGACCAAAAATGTATTAATTAAATATATAATTTTTAGTAAAACAAGCAAAATGTAATTTGTTTTGTCATATGCCATGCCTATGCATGAATACACACTAGACAAATGCAGCCAAGGTGAATACATCTCAATTTTCAGTCAAGTAATTAATGCACAAGTTAATGAAACAATTATATTTTATTTACTGACAACAATAAACATGAATATGAGTAAAAGAATGAATAAAAGTAACCATGAAAATCAACAACAAAGTCGACAACACATGCAACAAAGCTTTACTCAAACTTTAACAATGTATTTACAGGCAGTGAAACCACGTCCTACTGTCATCTCAACACAGCTGTTCCAGTTCTGCAGCTTTATTCTGATGAAGCAGCTGACCACCGTGCCCACCTTCACCTGTCTCTGCTGTCCATCATCTCCCTCATTGCTGCAGTCAGACTGAATCTGATCATGGATGGGAAAGGGACATCGAGGCTGTCCTTGCCTGAGTGCACAGAGAGGATGAGGAAGACCATGATGACGGCCCTGAACCACACAATCTTGAACATGTGCGGGACAATCTCCCAACCTACTTGCGGCGTAAGTCCCTCCCACTTGGAGGTCTCCCAACCTACTTGCGAGTAAGTCCCACCCACTTGGAGTTCTCCCAACCTACTTGCGGCGTAAGTCCCACCCACTTGGAGGTCTCCCAACCTACTTGCGCCGTAAGTCCCTCCCACTTGGAGGTCTCCCAACCTACTTGCGGCGTAAGTCCTACCCACTTAGAGGTCTCCCAACCTACTTGCGGCGTAAGTCCCACCCACTTGGAGGTCTCCCAACCTACTTGCGGCATAAGTCCCTCCCACTTGGAGGTCTCCCAACTTACTTGCGTAAGTCCCTCCCACTTGGAGGTCTCCCAACCTACTTGCGGCATAAGTCCCTCCCACTTGGAGGTCTCCCAACCTACTTGTGGCGTAAGTCCCTTCCACTTGGAGGTCTTCCAACCTACTTGTGGCGTAAGTCCCTCCCACTTGGAGGTCTCCGGGCTGCAGCGATACATACTTGGTCACCACTGGTTGTGTCCTAGAGCAAGGCTCTTTTCTCCAGGTTGCTGCAGGGGGGATTGGGGGTCCCTGTAATAAGAGCACTGTAAGTCACTTCGGATAAAAGTGTCTGCCAAATGCATAAATGTAAATGTGATTTTTGTAAATCCCTTTTTGTGTCTTGGGCACAGATGCTCAATAAAGCTGCTTATTTCTTCAAGTTGTTTTCTTCAAGGTACTACTAAACGCATACATATATTTCATACAATTTCTATTTGGGGGGTTTAAAGGGTTAGTTCAGCCAAACAGATAAAATCAGTCATTATTTGCTTGCCTCAACGCTGTTCAATCCTTGTGCTGCTGTGTACATCTCCATCCTCACTGCACACAGCAGTGTTTTGTTGCACAATGATTTAACAGGGGAAACCATAACCTATATTTACATACATGCAAAAATGGGCTGTGCAAGACAAAATTTTAATGCTAAACAAAGGGGGGGGGGGGGG